TAAGTTTCATTGACAAACATGCTCAATCAAATAGCATCACACAGGTCTTCATTTCTATTTTGATTTCTGTTTTGTTTGTTTGTTTGTTTGTTTGTTTGTTTATTGAGACAGGGTTTCTCTGTGTAGCCTTGGCTATCTTGAAACTCACTGTGTAGACCAGGCTGGCCTCTAACTTGGAGATCTGCCTGCCTCTGCCTCCTGAGTGCTGGGATTAAAGGTTGCGCCACCATCAATGGGCTGTTTTATAACTATCATTTCAAAATCACTGGACTGGAGCATGGCTGTGAGCAAAGCACTTGCCACACAAGAATAATCCCCAGAACCTACAAAAAAGACAAATGTGGTAACACACCTGTGACCCCAGTGTTCCTACAGCAAGATGGGAGGTGGACACGAGACAATCCCTAGAAGCTCCTGAGCCAGATGGCCTAGAGAATACAGTAGTGATGAGATTCTATGTGAAACAAAGTGGAAGCTGGGTACTGACAGCCAGTGTTCTCTGATTTCTACAAGTACACTATGGCACACACAAGCACCTGCATGCACACATATGCCTTAACACACCATACATACACATATTTTTTAAATAAAACACAGAGTTCTTTCCTACACCCAGACTCCCCTCACTCACTCTGGGGCATTGGAGTGTCCATTGTGTGGATAGCAGCGTTTAATTTACTTAAGCAATCTCTTGCTGATAAATATTGAGATAGTTTGTATACTTAGGGAACATTGTCATTACAAACACTTTTGTGTACTTCCAGAAGTAGATGCTCAGGTAGTTTTCCAGAAGTAGAGTTCTTTAACCAAAGTACATATGGGGTTTTAACAGTGAGATCAAATTGCCCTACAGTGTGGCAGAGCCAAGTTAAAAATCTCACCAGCTGCATTGTGGGAACTTGCTTACTTTGTACCTGACGATGTTGGTTATAATGAATTTTTTAAAATGTTAATCCAATATAGCAGATCAAAAATAACTCATAGTGGTTTGGGTTTGTGTTAGAAGTTGGCAGAACACTTCATTTGCTTATGGCATACTTGAACTTGGTTCTCTGTGAATCACCTGTTTGTTATTCTTTCCCTGACTTTCCCCCTTTTTATTCCTTTCCTCTGGAGTGTTCTCTGTGTGGTTAGCTGTGCTGCACCCTTAAGCTGTGCTGTGAGTTATCATCAGTGTCTTGGCCTTTGGGGGCTTGGTGGGAGAAAAATGATGGATGGAGGCCTCACAGGAAGGCTCTGTGTCTAGTAGAGCACTTGAGTAAAGAAACAGGCAGGACTGGGCAGAGGACTTTCCATAGGAAACCAGCATAAGGCATGAGTAAGACTTAGAGGTTGCTGGGTAGTGTGGAACACACCTTTAAACCCAGCACTCGGAAGGCAGAGACAGGTGGATCTCTGAATTCAAGGCCAGCCTGGTCTACAGAGTGGGTTTCAGGATAACCAGTGCTACAAGAGAAACCCTCTCTTGAAAAAAAAAGATTTAGAGGTGAGGGGGACATTTCTGGATGAAGGGATAGCATTGCAGAGGAGATGTTGTAAGATGAGCTATTATTACCCAGGAGAGGACTTAGCCATCCCTCCAGCCCCAAATGTGCTTCTTCTCTAAAAATTTATTTCATGTGTATGGGTGTTTTGCCTCATTTGGTCTGTGCACCATGTGTAAGACTGGTACCTGCAGAGGCCAAAGAGGGCATCACATCCACTGGAAGCCACCATGTGGGTACTGGGAATTAAACCCTGGTTCTCTGCCAGAGCAGCAAGTGTTCTTAACTGCTGCTCCGTCTCTCCAGACCCCTAAGTGTGCTTCTTCTTCTTCTTCTTCTTCTTCTTCTTTTTCTTCTTCTTCTCCTCTCCTCCTCCTCCTCCTCCCCTTCCTCCTCCTCCTCCTCTTCCTCCTTCAAGACAAGATCTCAAGTAGTTCCTACTGGCTTCAAATTCATGGGGTAACCAAGGATGACTGAAATTCTGATCCTCTTGCCTCTATGCCCAAGTGCTGGCATTCCAGGATGAGCTCCCCACTTCCAGTTTTATGAAATGTTGGAGGTAGAACTTAGGGTTTCTTGCATGCCATGTAGACACGCTACCCACTGAGCTATCTATATAGTCTGCCTCTGTGAATAAATGTCTAAGATGCTCAATGTACTCTTCCTTAGTTTCTGCCCTTGGTTTTTACCATTCCAGTCAGGCTGGAGTGCATGGGGAGGGTGCCTAAGTATGAAGACCCCTCTGTCCCTTCACGAAGCTTCTGGCTATGAAGGTCTAGTCTCTGGGAAAGCCAGTTACAGAAGCACTGCTGAAATCTTTATCTTCTCTAAAACATGGTGTCTGTGCAACAGTGCAAAATCATCAGAATGGAAAACCACTAGCTGGCAGATAAATGACAAAGATATCTGGTCATGGGAGGCACGAATGGAAATGGTATAACCTAGCAATAGCAAAGACATCAAACTTTATGTAGCTCATACAAGAAAGACAGACAAAATGTCTGAAAACAATGCAACAGTGGACAAATTGGCATCATGTTTAATTAAGACTAGAATATTAAAATTTGCTGGGAACAAATTCAGAATGGATCAGCAAGAATGATAGATTATACCTTGGAAAAACTTGAAAGTTTACCCCTAATACTAAACCAAATTAAGCCAGGACAACCCAATGAGAATAACTACTATAAGGAATCTATAGCTAGGTTTGGAGGGAGGCGGTTCACACGTCTAATTCCAGCACTTAGGAGGCAGAGGCAGGCACATAAGAATTAAGGTGATTTAAATTTAAAAACTGCTTGCAAAAGGCAGGCTAGAATTAAAAGTAAATGTCTTTTGTGATCTAAAAATGAATACACTTTAACCTTGAATTTATATATAAAGAGAAAGGGGGATATATGTGTCAGCTTGCCTCTGCATGATCCAGAAAGTCCCATTCCGGTCTCTCTCTCCAAACCCCACCTGCTTAGAGTCTCCAAACAAAGGAAAGGCATCTACTGAAGCTTCCTCCCCTGAAGTTGCCAGTCACTCAAGTCCCCACCTAAATCGGTCAACTTTTTACCATACTTGGGTCACAAACACAGTTTGTGGTGGACCATCATCACCCCTCGCCTACAACCTATGTAATCTCCCTGCTTTAGTTTGGGCTTGTGAGTTCTCCAGCCTTGATCTCTGGGACTGGAAAATCCACCCAGGGGGTTGTTTTGCTCAAATAAACCTGTTGCTATACTTTTTCAGTTTGGCTTGATCTGGTTTACTGTGTCAGCAGAGAAACCTATTATTGGGGGACAGAAAACCTATTAATAGGTATATTTATCCAAACATATTAAGGTAGTTTAGTTTCAAATTTTTAAAAAATTAATTGAAATATAATATTTTTTCTCTTGCAAAAAAAATTTTTATCCTAGGAAAGATGCCTGCCAAAAAAGGAGCCTGCCAGAGTTAGGGTTGGGACAGGGTTTTGCTTTTATCTTTCCAAGAGAATAAAAGCATCCAACTGAGAAATCCAGAGACCACTGGACAAGTGAAACATCTAAAGAAAAAGGGTAGAAAAAGAAAATGTCCCAAGAAAAAGAGCAAATTGGCCAACTGATATCACCCACCTGCTGTAGACTAGCCTGAAATCCAAGCTTGGAGCCCCAGACTAGCACGAGCACCTATGCCAACATCTTGCTCCAGCACTGCCGCTTCCCACTAGACAACCACCTGGTGTTCTGCCCAAACAGTGGACAGCTTTGGTTTGATTGTTGTGTTCTACCTAGCCAGGATTGCCACCAAACTGATAAATACCAGCCAAAGATCAGCTTTGGGCTACAAACTGCTTAGGACATTGAAATTGCTGAGTTCATATGAGACTGACACTATTTTACAAATACTTCATGTTAAGACTGCCAAATACAACCAAGCTGGACATTGTGGTAAGCTTGGCAAAAAATACCTTCATCACTGTAAAAGTTTTACTGTGTTAGAGTTAAAAACATTTCCTTTTTATTTAGACAAAAAGGAAGAAATGTTGCAGGATATTTGATCACACTGTGAACCCCGAGATTTTGTTATTTACTGGAAAGCCTGTTTCTAGTTGTGGTGTGGCTCAGTCCTAGCACACACCTTTAATCAAAGAGCTTTCTGTTTGAATATTGTAAACAGGATGAAATCAAAGCAACTATAAGTGAAGAGGCAGAGCAAGTAACCAGTTGACAGGAAAAAACCATGAAGAGTAAGAGGGAGTCGGGAGGATGGATAGAGAGACACACAGGAAGTAGAAGGAAGGGTCATTCAATTTGAGGAGTTTTGTTTGAGATGGCATAGGAGAAAGCTGTCTTTCTGGGACATCAGTGGTGGAGGGTACTTTCTCTGCCTCTCTGAGCTAGCAGGTTTTCACCCCAGCCTCTGACTTCTGAATGTTTTTTGGTAAAATCTAACAATTGAGATTTAGTTAAAAGCAACAAGCCTCACTGTTGAGGAATGATGGACAATGAGTGTAAACAGGGACTGATCAGAGCCTGTGAGTCTCCTACAGAATTGGGCGTCCCTCTGAGCACCTGAGAGAATATATGGCCAGTGTTAACATGACAGGCCAGGACTCTCAATTTTTTTATGTGAACTCTCCCAATTCTTAAATTTAGGCTTTATTATATTTTTAAAAAACTACAAAAGCCAAATTAAACCCATCCGTGGGCCAAAATCAGCATGTGGGCTGGAGTGTATGGTCCCTTACCTTAGTAATGACACAAGTACATAAAGTAGTTTCCATCCTCATGCCTAACTCTTCCCTTACTGTCTTTTTCCTTCTGTTTCCAGCCCTTTTCTCCAAGCCACTCCCACCCATCCTTTGTTTTTTTTACAGGTCCACATGGAAGGTAATGGTTGAGATGAGAGAGTGATCAAGCCTGAGGCGGTGTGCCCACAACCCCTATCCATGCCCCAGGGCCATAAGATGAGTGGTTTGGGTACTCAGATTGCTTTCTTGTGCACACCCTGTGCTTACCAGACAAACCGTCTCATTTGTCTCCACAGCCTTGCGAAGTCGCTCTGGCCGCTCCATCATCAATGGGAACTGGGCAATTGATCGACCAGGGAAGTATGAGGGTGGAGGGACAATGTTCACCTACAAACGACCAAATGAGATCTCCAGCACTGCTGGAGAGTCATTTCTGGCTGAAGGTCCCACCAATGAGATTCTGGATGTCTATGTGAGTTTGGGTGTTTGGGAGGGGGGTGCCTTCTGGATTTGGGATCCTATAGCTTCCAAGAAACACATTCTGAACAAATAAACAACATATCTTTGCCCAGGCTCGATAAAATCATTTGAGTGAAGCTTGTCTGGGGACCCCCATTCAATGCTTGGTGTTGGTCTTTGACATTTACCCCTGAATGTACAAGATTCACAGAAACCATAAAGTCTACCAGGTGCTTCATTACCCTTGGAGTTTATGGACCCAGTAAAACCAATTTTACTTGTTGAACCAAATCAGAGGCAAACAAATGCCCTGTTTCATGAGCCTGGAGCTCCTCCAGGCTCTTTCCTCTCAGTGCTAATTTGGCATGTTTTCTTTTATGGTAGAAGAAAGAAAATGCCAAATGCAAACCAACCCACTCCAGGCCCAACCTTCTCAACTCCATCAGGGCAAATGGAGAAGGAACACTCCAGGTGACCCCAGCTGAAATGATGAAGATTTAGCTGCACTACAAGTGCCCTGCTTCCCACAGACGGGGCTGTGATCACTTTACTTGAAGCCAGAATATTAATATTAAATTGGCCAAGAGTCGTTTCTAATGGTCTTTAACAAAAACTACCAGAGGAGCCTGGAGAGCTCAGTCTGTCTATAAAATGCCTGTCTTGCAAGCATGAGAAACTGAGTTCCAGCCTCAACACCCATGTAAAAGATGGGTGTGGTGGCACATGCCTGTAATCCCAGAAGAGTGGAGGCAGCCAGCCTAGCCTAACAAGGAGCCCCAGGTCCCAGTCAGAGACCCTGCCTCAAATAGCATGGGGGTCTACTCCTGAGTCATGACAACCAAGGTTGACCTATGAACTCCACATGCACACATACACATGTGCACACACACATGAAGCCACTAGAATCCAGTCTTCCGAAAAGATGAGGAACTAAAGGGTGACAAGAAACGAAAGCTTAAATAAATACACAGATGCCTACTGTTCCCAGAGCCATGCTGGTCTCCAATATCTGCTGTGTCCGGTTTTGGAAATAGCATTCATTGTGATTGCTTTCTCCAACTCTACGGTTCTGGTCTGTTCCTCTTGAAGGATAGTAGGCTAAAAGTAACAACAGATGCCTTGTTTTAGTTAACTTGAGTTTTTTTTGTGACTTATCCACTTGGTTGTTTGGCTCTGGGTAAGTTTGAATGGTATCAGAGGCGAAGGCTCCACAGTGAAAGCCTCCTGTGGGTGGTCTAGGAAAGGTGGCCAACAATAATCCCATAAACAGCATAAGGCCTTCAGTGGCCGAATCCAATGTATTTCCTCACACAGAAGAGGCATGGGAAAGAGCAGACCATGTACAAAGGGAATTGAGAGGGGTGGGGCAGACAGAAAGAACCTACAGTCGCATGGCTGTGTCCCTCGGGGGTCCAGCGCTCAGTGCCATGTTTCTACAATGCCAGTGAGTTAGTCTTGGCTTGTGACATGAGGAGCCAAGTGCCTCCCACATCTGCCTGCCTCTGGGTGAGTGATGGGGAGCCCCGTTTCACGAGTAGGAAGAAAAGGTAAGAGGTGGTGGAATGAACAGGAAAAAAATATACAGTCAGGCCCCAGTGCAGACGAGACTCAGGGGTACTTGCAGGGATCTAGAGACTAGCTCTGGGTTGCACAAATGGTCAGCAAGAGCCACTTTACAGAGCAAAAATATTGGCAAGACAGTGTCCCCTTGCTTGCCTCCCAATTATATTGTAGGTTTTAGTGCTGTTGCTCCAATCTGCCCATCGCCTTACCATAACATCTGTAGACACAGGAAGGGCTGGTAGGCAGGGATTAGTTCTGTTGGCCTTGCTCGATTATCTTGTGCCTTTGTTCCAGACCTCTGCAGCCCACACAGCTTCCTGCTGGCCATCCTTACTTTTATTTTTTTATTGTTTGTTTTTGTCATTGTTTCCTCAATGAATATGACACATGCATGTATATATATATATATATATATATATATATGGTTTTTTATTTTGTTGTTTTGTTTGTTTGTTTTTTTGTTTGGGGTTTTGTTGTTGTTTGTTTGGTCTGGGTTTTGGTTTTCCACTCTATTTCATTATAGTTCTGGGACTTTGTATGTGTGAAAGTGAGTGAGACTCAGGCGGCCAAAAGAAAGAGGACTGAGGACTCGGGCAGACCTTAGCCAGCCAACCTTACTGGCCTACAGAACATTAAAGGGCCCTTGATGGTCTTAGGCTAGTCCTGCCCAGGAGATCTGGTCCTTGTTTGCTTGACTCTGTGCCACCACTTAGTGCTCAGATTCCTCTGCAGTGTGAAGAGCTTGGGACATTCAGAGGCCACAGATCCAAGCCCTAGCTGAGAATGGCTGCCAGCCACAGGTTCTCCTACTGTAGACCCTGTCCAGTTTGGACCTCATAAAACCTTCACTTTTATCTCGATAAAATCTTGGCCATTCACTATTTTTCTTCTGATTCATGAACACATGAAGTCTTGAATTCTTCAAAAGCAGCCCACAAGAAACCACTGGAAGTAACTTCATTCAACATGCCACAGGGTTATTACTGTCACTAGATGACAACTTGTATGTTTAACTAGAGTACCACTCACGTTATTGAGAGCCAAGCCATTAGGAAATCGGGGTGTGTGGGGGTTGTGGTGACTTTGACTTTGTGTCCTCAGATGATACACCAGCAGCCCAATCCAGGCGTCCACTACGAGTATGTGATCATGGGGAACAATGCCATCAGCCCACAGGTGCCACCCCACAGGAGACCAGGTAAAGGCCCTTGTTTTTCAACAAGTATTCTGAGTCACTTCTCGTCATCTCGTCTCTCCCTCTCTCCCTCTCCCTCTCCTTCTCCTTTCCCCTCCCCATCTCCCTCTCTCTCATTGTGTCCTGAACAATGCAGAGAAACCCTGTGGATACGAATTTCAGTTAGTGGAGTTGGTATCAGAACATGCTTTGCCATGTGAGTCTCCCTGATTGGCTTAGGATCAAGTGAACGAAATATCCTAAGTTGGACACCCTGATCCCACATCTGAGATGATTACGTTGGCTTCCTATTGCTGCCGTAGCAAATGACCTTCCAACCAGTATCTTAGAATAAGATGCAGATAATTGTCTTACAGTTTGAAGGTCAGAGATCTGAAAAGGTTTCCATGAGGTCAAGACCAAGGTGCCCCAGTCAGAATCCATTTCTCTCCTGTTTTAGCTTCTAGAAACCCCAAGGCCTCTGACCCCTTCCTCCACCTCCAAAGCCAACACAGTACACACCTCAAGACTCACTCCCATCTGGCTTCATCTGCTATACCATCTCCTCTCATTCTCAGGCACCATTTCTTTCCTTTATAAGGACCCCTGGGGATAGCTCAGGCCTTGGTACTTCATGCCTCCTGCCCTCCTAAAACAGATTTAAAAAGTAGCATCGGGGCTGTATACTCAGCAAGGGAAGGACCAGAGTTCAGATCTCAGAACCAACTTAACTGCCAGGTGGGTGTGGCAGCTCCCCTGCAGTCCCAGCACTCAGAAGGCAGGCTGGTTAGCTAGATTGGCTGCAAGTGTGAACTCTGGGTTCAATTGAGAGACCATGCCTTGAATACGGTAGAGAACAATCAAGGAAGACTCTTGATTTTCACCTCAGGCCTCTGGGTGCACATGCACCCTAACACCTGTGCATTCACATACATGTAAACACATGTACACATCTGTACACATGCAAACATAAAGAGAAAAAAGTAATAATAACAAATTAAAACAACAACAATAATAAAAGCATGAGCCTTCAACTCCCTTTTCCTCCCAGGGGGACTCTCTCTTACCAGTGCAATGAATTCTGCCCTGCTCCTTTCTACTCAAATACAGTCTGTCTGCAGATAATTTGTCTACATACCGAATATCATTGTCTTTAATTAGTCAACTCAAATCCAACCTGAACATTACCCTTTTCTGAAGTCAGAAGAAAATTCCCTCTCAGTCACTCCAGAAGCTATACACGTATGACAGGTGCCCATGTACACACATCCATGCAGCAAGTAATAAGGAAAGGCCTTGGGATCTAGGGTGGGCTAAAGCACTACCTGGACCTGACACCCACCCACTACCACCCCACCCACCCTGTCGCTCTGTTCTGACTCCACTGAGGTGCTCATAGGAGGAGCCTCATGGAATCGTCCAGCTTGTGCTATGGGCAAAGAATACAGAGTGGGACTGAGAGCCAACCCTCAATGTCACCCCAGATGTGGTCTGCTTCAAGGACGTTGTGTGGTTCATGTCAGGGTCCTTGGTGCTCAGGAAATGCAAGGCCTCAGGCCCTGCCCAAGCTTTCAGACACCTCTGTCTGAAGAGGCCTTCTCCATGGTTCCCTCCCACTGCCTTACCCCACTGATGCTTCCGGGAACTCGGCTCCATCCTTCCTGAGAACCTAGGTTTGAACTATGCCAAGGGAGAGTGGTCCTCCTCAAACTAAACAGCTTTCATTTTATCTGTTGAAATGAAAATAAGCAAGAAAATCTAAGAGCATAGCTACTCCTGTAGACTTGAAGAGGAAGGGAAACAAAGATATGCCATGTCTCAAAACTGACCTGCCACATCTACACGTGTGTGTGTGTGTGTGTGTGTGTGTGTGTGTGTGTGTGTACAAACCCCAAGTCTATGCATTTTTGTCCACCAAGCAACACATCAGTCATACTGCTGTGTTAGAACATATATATGCTGCATTTTTTTTATTCCATTTCATGGTTGTGCTATAGTGTCATTTAATTTTTACTGTCAGTACACATTGAAGTCTGTTGTCTTGCTATTTCATAGAATATTTTAGTGACCATATTTCTTTTTTTAATTTTTTTTAATGATTTAGTTTTATTTTACATACATTGGTGTTTTGCCTGCCTCTGTGTCTATGTGAGGGTATCAGAATCTCTGGAACTAGAGCTACAGACAGTTGTGAGCTGCCATGTGAGTGCTGGGAATTGAACCCCGGTCCTCTGGAAGAGCAGCCAGTGCTCTTAACAGCTGAGCCGTCTCTCCAGCCCCTAGTAACCGTATTTCTATGCACAACCTTAAGTAAAAGAATAAGAATGTGTGTACAGCAACTATTCTAGCAACTACGTAAGTAGGTCAAAGAGTGTGTGCATTTAAAGTTTGGGGCATGAATGCCAAACTACTCTCCAAAAGCTGGCATCTATTTGAAAGCTCATTGGTAGTGGGAAAGGAGGATTTTACCTTCCAGCAGAGGATTTAGGGATTCTAATCCTTAGTGTGAGGTTAAAAAAAAAGTTGGAGGGCTCCTAGTCTTGTTTTCATAGATGAGAGTTTGATTATGAGTGAAGTTGAGAGGTTTTTGACTGTTTGTGGAGGAGGGACTGTCTTCCTATGGCCTTTGACATTTTCTTATTGATTTGTTTTACACATTTTTATATGTATGAGTGTTTTGTTGTGTGCCACAAGTGCCTGGTGCCCCAGGAGGCCCTGAGAGGGTGTCCTTGGAACTGGAGTTATATACAGTTGGGAGCCACCATGAGGGTGCTGGGAATTAAACCTGGGTCATCTACAAGAGCAGTAAGTGTTTTTAACCACTGAGCCATCTCTCCTTCTTACTAATTTTTTTTTGCCCCACTGATTTTTAATGTTTTAAATATGAGAAAAATACTACTGTCATTTTAAATGAACTTGTGTTGCATTTATCCAGTGGCAAAGCCGTCTCCTTTTTCATCTCAGTGTCCAAAGGAATCTCACTTCTGTTTTTGTGCTGCCTCTCCTAGGAGAGTCTTTCAATGGGCAGTTGGAAACAGAAGATAGAAGCTTGGAGGGCAGAGAAGAGAGGGAGAAGAACCAGGAGAAGGAAGACTCACCTGGCCAGGCCCCTGAGGTGTTGACACCAGAATCCACACACGCACAGACCTTCCCCGTCAGGCACCCCGATAGATTCCCTTCCCACCGACCAGACAACTTGGTGCCACCAGCACCACAGCCCCCTAGGCGAAGCCGGGACCACAACTGGAAGCAGCTGGGGACAACAGAATGCTCCACCACCTGTGGAAAAGGTAAGCCTGTGTGGAAAGCCAAGCAAGGAAGAAAACGGAAGGCTCAGCCGATGAGGCACCCCTCACCACATAAATCACCTGCAAGATGGCTTGCTCATATGCATATTATGTTAGAGGTTCCCAAGATAACATACAGGCTTATCCAGCAGTGGGACTTAAAGATTCAGAAAATCCATGCTCACACCTCTGTTTATCACAGTGAAAGAACACATTCTAGTGAGCGAGTGGGTACATGGACCAACTCCAGGAGAAATCAACTCCCAGGTAGCCCCTTCCAGCAGACACCCACCCCCAGAATCCTCCAGCAATAATATGTGACGGTTTCATGTTGAATACTGCTCACCCAGAGATGCTCACCCAACCTTTGGTGCACAAGTGTTTCCATAAGCATTCCATAGGCCTCACTCTACACCCCAGAGGTCATGCTGACATGGCAAACCAGGGCATCAAGCACACAGAAACAGACATTCATTGTCATACCGAGGCCTTCACGGCTCAAGATCACAAGCATAGAAAACACTCAGGCAATGAAGGAACCACCCCCAGCTCCCCCCAGCTCCCTCCACTCCCCACCCTACCCCCACCCCTGCACAGTGGGATCTTCCTCCTGGACCCCAGATTAGGCACAGACCACAGCCAAACACCTGTTTTCACAGAGATCCTTTATTAAACTGGGAAGAAAAGTTGAAGTGGCTGCTTTCTGACTTGGTCAGAAAAACAGCAGCACATGACCCTGCAGGTATAATTTTTAAGAAGAAAAAAGGAGAGGTCTGTGTTAGAATGGGCTAGAATGCAGTGGTATATTTTGATTGGGCATGTTAATTAGGTGAGCCAAAGGGGGCTTTTGATTGCTGGACTTTAATACTTTTGTAGCTGGACCTTGGTGGTCAGACTCAGGAGGAAGTGGCTAAATGGGGGCTGGCTTTAGGAATGTAATCTGTTGGGAGAAGGGCTAGTGTCCCTTCAGGCAGAGTGAAACCATGCCCCAAGGCTGTATCCTAAGGCTGTCAACAAAGACAGGCAGTTAAAAAACCAACCCACACAGCATTTGAGCAACATGGGCCTGCTGAACCGAGCTCTCCTTGAGAACCATGAGAACGTACCCACATGCTTCAGAGCCAACAGTTGATGATTCAAGTTTAGAGATGGCTGGTGTGAGTGCCATCCTCAAATCTAAAGATTTCAGGGGTAAAACAACACATTTGGGGGGCAGGGGGGATTTGGGTTTCGCTCATCAGTTTTCATCTTCATCTACTCCTTTCCTAGTCTCCCAGTCAGCTAGGACCACCAGACAAAACTCCCTAGCCTAACAAAGTCATATCTATTAACTGTTGCAAGAAAGGAGCCCAAATGCCGGAGGAAGCTTGTAGCCTCTCTCCAAGCAAAAGGAAGATAGGAAGATAGGACTGAGGGAAAAGGCAGAGTTTCAGTGACATTTTTAAAAATGGTGTTTTGAATGGCTCAGAGAAAACCATGGCTGAAATTTTATATGCAGGGTGACATGTGTGAAGGGGTCCACATCAGGTCTAGACTGTAACACAGACCCAGGGTCCTTCCCTCAGCTGCTCCACAGTCAGGATCCATGGGGAAGGTGGGCTCTGGAAATCCTTGTATGGCTGTCAGGCTCCTAGGACTGGAAATTGACTCTGACTCTTTTGAGGTGACTTGAGATCCTCCTTGCAAGGAAACCCAATGTACTGCATAGTTATAGTCTTCTCCCTATATAGGATGAGGGCTTCTTATGCTATTGTTACCCTGAAACAGTTGTTCTCTGAAGGGACCTTACTATGGAAACAAAGGCTTTGTGTCCCGTACTCACCACCACCATCCCTGCAGAGTTTTTAAAACTTAGAAGACCATGTGATTTACCCTAGACATTGACTTGGTGATTAGGTTTTTTTTTGTTTTGTTTTCTCTACAAGAAACTTGAGTCTGGGCTGGGAAGATGGTTGTGTGTGTAAGAGCACTTGCTATGCAAGCCTGAAGACCTGAGTTTAAATCCCAAAAGCCAAGCAAAGTTAGATGTATAGCATGAGCATAATCAATCTCAGTACCCTCAGAGATATGGGAGGCGAAGACAGGAAAACTCCCAGAAGCTCCCAAAGTAGCTAGCCTGGCCTACACAGCAGAAACAACACAGGAAAACTGTATGAAACAAGGTAGAAAACAAGGGCCAATGCCCCCAGGTTATCCCCTGACATTCATACACACACACACACACACACACACACACACACACACACACACACACACATATATATATATATAGGTATGAACTTTGCAAGTTTAATAATTAGCACAAACAAAAACAAAAACCTCTGGCAACTGTGTCTGTCTTTTTTCATAAGAGCACTGGCCTAACGGTTTGGGGTCGAGAATTTAGGTCTTTGTTTCTTTGTGTGTGCACAGGGGCAAGGCAGGGACTGGAGTTCTTTATGTTCAAAGTCTTGATGATTCTACAATGATTCCACCTGGTAATTGGAGAATTAATTCATGAGCTCTTATTGTACCCATTTTCTTGTGCTCAGACTACATGAGCAGAGAATGTGGCCTGAAGATTGATTGAACTGGCTTCTGTTGTAGGTTTGTGAGGGGAAATGAGATGCCTGTAGACTGTGTCTTGACAGAGTCAGACAGCTAGAGATAATTCTGCCAAAAGGCCAAAATCATTTTAATAAGATTTTATTCAAGGCAGTATAGAGATAAGCAGAGCGTCCTAACATTGACAAAGAAACATGAGATGCAAGTTTTCCAACTCTTCTACCACTTATGAGTTGATGTGGTACCCAGATAGCTTGGATGAAAATTGTCACTGTATGATTTGCAATCCAGAATGACGTGTGTAGATTCTTTCCCACCCTGTCCAGGGACTACAGGATATTATTTGTGGGTGTGGTGTTGCAAGGGCAGAAGTATGTAACCCTGCCACTGTTCCCTGGATGGGTGCTACTTGCCTATCCAGGTAGTTATTCAGCAGGCCCCTGTCCATTCTGTACGAGACATGATGGAGAAACATTCTGTGGCCAGGGACTGTAAGTGGCCAAAGGTAGCTCTGAATATGACTCAAGACAAAAGCTGTAAACTTATTTAGAACAAAGAAAATTATTTTGAACTTAATTGTGAGGCTCTTGAGCAGGAACGTTGTAGATGACAGGGAGCAAAGGAGACGTTCACCAGCTCCTGCTGTTTGTCACATGGGAGAAAAAGAAGAGAAAGTACATCTCCATTTATGTTTGATTTTCAAGGCACCGCTTCAGAATATCTCTGGCTCCAGAGCCACAGGAGGGACACACCTGGAACTCTGTGCTCCCATAAGAGTGATGATGGCAGCAGACGTGCAGGGCATGAGCCGTGCAATGCAAATGCACAAAGCAAATGAGCTACACTCAGTCCTCAGCACACGTGTCAAGTGTGCGGGCACTGTGTACCCCTCTGCTACAAAATCCAAGTCCCTGCCCTTGAGAGATCACAATCTGTCCCTCACAAATCCCCTTCCATCCTCCCTGGTGAAGCTGACCACACCTGTGCTTCTTACCTCTACATCTACCATTTCAGCACCATCCTACCTCCCAAGATTTCATTCTCTTGGGAAGGTACCCCAAGAGTGGCCCTTCATCGCTGTGGCCATCAGCCATGATACCCAGACCTCTGCCTGTCTCCTGACTTGGCTCTGTTAGTGCTTGTATTTCCAAGTCTGGAGTTATTCAGTTATTTTCTTGCTGCTTCTTTTGTCTAATTCTCAAGTTAGTGTGTCTCACAGACCTCAACAACGCTGTTCCCCAAGCTCTGCTTCCCTTTCCAGTACACCATGCTTCTATTTTGATCAGTATGCCTGCATACAATCCAGGACAACCATCCTGCTACTAAAGCCCAGCCAGCACCCACCCCACTACCCTGCCCCTGCTTGTTAGCAGTCAAAGGAATCATTGCATCGCAGTCCTGAACAATAGGACTCCGGGTGACGTGCCAAATGACAATATCCCTTTCTGCAGATACTAAAGCTAATCCAAAGAAAGAAACCATTGCAAACACCAGGAGCAAGAGTTATAAAGCTGATATTTTCTCAGCATCAGAGAGACAAAGAGCCTCTGATTTCATTTATTTGGAACCATTCCATGAAGCTGGACCATGGACAATGGGCAATGCATGTAAAAACAGTCAAATGGGAGGGGAGGTAAGCAGTGGCCATCTGCCAGACAACCCCAAGCAAGACCCATCTTTCCAGGCACGGAGCATTCCTAGGGTATCCTGTATCATTTGGGCTAAAGGTATTAGGTTTCCCCTCTGTGAGTGCCAAGAAGTTGGGGTACCTTCCTCTTGCTTTTCAATCCACAGAGCTGTAAGTGGAAAAGTTATAGCCACATGGTCTGGAGGGAAAGGAACAGGCTAGCTAAAATCTTTACTTAATCCCCTAATAGCTGGGTCTCAAATGCTCAGGCTGTGGACTGAGTCTTATTCATCTTTGTGACTTAGCACAATGTGCTTAATGTGGGTTGAATTTAATTTAAAAATATCTCCTAGGGCTGGAGCGATGGCTTGGCAGTTAAGAACACTGACTGCTCTTCCTGAGGATCTAGGTTCAATTTCCAGCACCCACATGGTTGATGACAACTGTCTGTAACTCCAGTTCCCAGGGACCTGACACTGTCTTCTGGCCTCTGTGGCCACTGCACAAATGTGGTGCATAGACATACATGCAGCCAAAATACCCAAAATACCAAAATTTATACATAAGAATAAATCAATCTTAAAGATGTTTAATAAAATGTATCTTATAAAATGGATGTAGCCTGAAGGAAGATTAATACCAAAAAAGGTTTTGTTTGCTATTAATTTTATGGTCACAACTGCCTTTTATTCAGATGATACTTGGACTTAACTGGAACATTTTAAATAGTGATCTTGATATGGCTCTGTGTACATCTTTACTGCCACAGTAATTTCAACAGATGATTACCTCTGATTCTAAACTCTTTTACAAATTGCCATATTTCTTATACAAACTACCCTCTGGCTCAGGGTGTCACACAAGGCCAGCTTGGAGGAGCCCTGTGTCACACCCAAGACTAATGACATTGAGGCACTTACGTTAAAAGTGTATGGCTGGGCACTCGACCATCACTTACTCTCAGTCTCTGAACAGTCATGTATCCCCTGCTGTTTGTTACAAAGGGACATTTTTGACTAAGACAGAAAGTAGCATTTGCTTGAGGGTATAAGCATAAATGTCTAGAATGCAGCTTGGTGTTCTGTCACTTTAGAGGTGACACTGAGAACAGTAATAAGTTTCCCTAGAATCTAACGCCTCTTAGCCAGGGGTTTTTAACTGTACTTGTAGTACCAGGCATAGATTCACTATAGGGAGCAGATGATAACAGGGATGGATGAGAGGGGAAGTATTCAGAATGCACTATGTGTGTGTATAAAACTGTCAAAGAACAAACTTAATAAAAGGTTTCTTAAAGACATTTTAGAAGAAAAAAGTTATCCTTGTGGTACAATTAAAATTGTAGTGAGCTGCAGCTCTTGAAAAATATCTGACTAGTTAGAGGCACGGATAATTTTTTTAAATAAGAGTTGTATGTTAGCCTAGTTTGTAGGGCCAACAGTGACTCCCGCTCCATCACAGCACCAGTAATACTCAAGTTCTGCCAGCAGATGGCAGAAGAGAGAAAGACAAAATTGAATTGAGACCTAGAAATTACCCATCACTGGCTTTTTATAGAAGATAGTTTGTCCTTATTAAGGCAATGAAACTAGTCTGTGTATACAAAACAAAAACATAGTTACTAGTTTTCCAAAAAAAGTACTAAAAGCTTAGGCCTCTGTTAGGCACTGGGGTTATGGAGATGAACCAGGGCTTCGATGTCCTGAGAAACACACCCTCATGGGAAGCTGGCAGATGCTGAGAAGGCCAAGCCCCCTGGATCAGGAAAATGTTAGAGGATCGTGTGAAATGTGTTTCTGTAATTTTTGAATCCTCTCTGCTTCAACCTTTTTGTACACATATGCACCTGGCAAGCAGGCAAGTTCATTCCACATTAGTCCCGTGGATGGCCTCCTTCCCTGACACACATGCACAGTCACACCCAACAGTTCTCTGTTCACAGCTAGACCCTTCAGGGTGTTTGCTCCGTGACACCTCTGGAGAATCTTGGTAAAGATTCTGTTTGTGACGATTCTATGCTTGCTCCATTGACTAGTGAGCTCTTTTACTGCTTGTGTGTGTGTGTGTGTGTGTGTGTGTGTGTGTGTGTGTACATGCATGTATGTGCATGTGTGTCTACATATATGCATGTATTCATGGGTGAATGGGTGCACATAAGTGCATGTATGTGTGGGTATCAGAGGACAGCCTCAGCTGTCATCCTTCGAGAAGCTGTCATCCCCTTGTTTTTGAGAGAGAACCTCTTGTTGGGACCTAAGACTCACTAAAGGGGCTAAGTGTCTGTCCAGCCAGCTCCAGAAACCCACCTGTCCCCACCTCCCCTCCCCAACTCTGGGATTCTAAGCATGTACCTCTATTCCTGGCTTTTTGACAGGCACTAGGACTCTAACGTGGGTCCTTGTACAAGGGCTTAATTGACTGAGCCGTTTTCCCAAACACATCTCACATAATCTTGAACAACTATAAAAAATTGCTTTATCTTCCTTTTACAATAGATTGTAAGCTCACTGGGAACAAGAACTGTGTGTGTGTGTGTGTGTGTGTGTGTGTGTGTGTGTGTGTGTCCTTTGCACACCACATCCCAGCAGAGCCATGTGGGTACATCTATATCAACAAGATGAAGGGATAGGACTTGAACTCAATAGTCCTATACCCTCCCTTCACCAGCATCAAAATGCCTGTGCAACTTTACCTTGGCTCAGCATCCCAGAGTGGGGGCTGGCCTTCAGGCATCTTCCTTGTCGTTACAGGCTCTCAATACCCCATCTTCCGCTGTGTGAACAGAAACACACATGAGGAGGTTCCCGAGAGCTACTGTGACTCCAGCATGAAGCCGACCCCGGAGGAAGAACCCTGCAACCTCTTCCCCTGCCCAGCCTTGTAAGCGGCCTCTCTGGTTAAGTCACCTTTCCTCGGGTCCTTAGTAGCAGATACAGTTGAGTTTTTAAGCCAGTATTAATTTGGTGTATAAATACTGGCTGGAACTGTGTCCAGGATACAGACTGCTTATCGAGCCTGCTTGTGTTTCTGGAAGAACTGGGGAGTTGATGGTCTGTAGCAAGTCATCAAGCTCAGCCAGGGATCCTGTCCAGGAAAACAAGGGAGGTCATAGGAATGAGAAGCCAGTGAGGCAGCTTGTAGGTGAGCTGAGTATACAGATAGATGGTGCTGAGTCGGCTTGGAGGAGCCAGGAAGAGTGTCCGGGAGCAGTTGAGTGATAAATGAGACCGTCTCAGATAGATTGGGACAGGTCCCAAAAGGTCAAAGCTTGATCCTTTTTTTTTTTTTTCTTTTTTTCTTTTTTTGTCCGAGACAGGATTTCTCTGTGACTTTGGAGGCTGTCCTGGAACTAGCTCTTGTAGATCAGGCTGGTCTCAAACTCACAGAGATCCACCTGCCTCTGCCTCCCGAGTGCTAGGATTAAAGGCATGTGCCACCAATGCCCAGCTAAAGCTGATCCTCAAAGTAAAGGAAAATAATATTTGCTGAACACCTGACTGTGTCTCATTCAGTAATTGTCAAGATTAGGGCATGGAAATAGTGGGCAGCAGAGAATGCCTAGGTGACATCTGTACCTTCTCACTCTTTCTATAGCTGTGTACAGAACCTGGGCAATCTAGTCATGGTAAACAGCATAGCCTACAGGCTCCCTACAGTCAGGTGACCTTTAGGCACTGCCCTGGGGAGAGCGCCCCCAGTGATTTTGCTATGTATTCCTGTTAACCAGTCTTCTCCCCTCTTCCCTACCCCAATCCATTCCATGAACCAGCTGGGACATTGGGGAGTGGTCTGAGTGCAGCAAAACCTGTGGCCTGGGCATGCAGCACCGCCAGGTCCTGTGCCGCCAGGTATATGCCAACCGCAGTCTGACGGTGCAGCCCTACCGATGCCAGCACCTGGAGAAGCCTGAGACCACCAGCACCTGCCAGCTCAAGATCTGCAGCGAGTGGCAGATTCGGACCGACTGGACCTCGGTACAGGGCCTCCCCCCTCCGTCCCACACTCACCCCTACTCTGTCACCTCCCCCTGCTAGGACCTGTGATGGGTAGGGTGGGGAATATCTGCTGGGCAGCCTGATTGCAAACACATTTCATGCCAGCACCTCGGTAGAGTTCAGGCTAGTGTACACGGCCTATATCCAATCTCGTGGATGGGCCTGTCAGAGTCCTGTGCCTGCAGACTTCACCTGCCTTGTGTCTCCCATGTATTAAGAGAGGGTTGGTAAATGCTAGGAGAGCCAGCACCTTCTAGTGTTTTGCATCCATCCTGGATATGGAAAGGCAGGGGGCCCTGAGCAGGCCAGTAAACAAGATGCCACCCAAAAAGGTTCTTCGAGGAACAGGCCATGGAGTTTTCCCTTGATCATTTCATCCCTGAGGAATTGCAGGCATTGCAGGGGACCCAACAACGGCATCCTTCTCACATCATCTGTTGAGGGTCAGGTGACAAAGAAAGAGGACATGGCACCAACGCCCCGCTGTGTTTCAGTGCTCAGTGCCCTGTGGCGTGGGGCAGCGGACCCGAGACGTGAAGTGTGTGAGCAACATCGGGGATATAGTGGATGACCAGGAATGCAACATGAAGCTCCGGCCAAATGACATTGAGAACTGTGACATGGGACCCTGTGCGAAGAGCTGGTTCCTGACAGAATGGAGTGAAAGGGTGAGTGTGCCACTGACACAGATCGGCTGTATCACAGGCTCTCCCAGAGCCACTGGTAGCTAAGAATCCCAAAGTTGATTCCTTCCCAGTTGACAATGTCTAATTTGTCCTTGTAAGATTCCATTGGCAAGGGGAGGCCCCTGCACTCCTGGGAGCCTCCGGAGGTGGACTGATGTTTTGCCCTGGTGTGTGTGGGGGACTTCGAGAGCCCATCCCACTTGAAGGGATTCGCTCTGTCTCTGAACACATGGGGAGGACCTAGGCCCAGCACAGGAAGATTTGGTGGACTTGGTGGAACCCCGGTTGGGGGCCCTACCCTGCCTGGGGAGTGGCGGGTGGATGGGGTGGGGGGTAGGTTGGAGGTGGGGGAGAAGGAATGGGGGTGAGGGGAGAGAGAGGGGAATTACATGTGAAACAAGCCTGTTCCCTAACTTGAATTAATAATAATAATAATAATAATAATAATAATAATAATAATAATAATAATAATAATAATAATAATAATAATAATAATAATAATAATAATAATAATAATAATAATAATAATAATAATAATAATAATAATAATAATAATAAGAGAAAAAAAGAGATTCCATTGGCAAACCAAAGTTGTTAGTTTGTTGTTTGTTTTGTTTTTGGTGTTTTGATACAGTGTCTCTCTATGTAGCCTAGGCTGGCTTAGATAAACCAGGCTTGTCTCAAATTCACAGAGATTGCCCTTCTCAACTTCCCAAGTGTTCAGATTAAAGATATGTGCCACCATACCCAGCTAGCAAACACAAGTAACTACTGAGCCATCTCTCCAGCACCCTTGAGTTACTAAAACTATAGAAGGCAAAAGTAATAGATAAGATTTCCTGTCTTGGAAGTATGTCATGTGTGAGAGAGGTTATAAGCTACTTATAGAGGAAAGAGTTAGAGGGACAGTTAAGTCCTTGGCATTATTTGGAAGTATCCCTCAGTACCTGCAGGAGCCCCACTAATATGCCCTCCTTCTGTCTAACAGTGCTCGGCTGAGTGTGGGGCTGGAGTGAGGACTCGTTCCGTAGTGTGTATGACCAACCATGTCAGCAGCCTGCCTCTGGAAGGCTGCGGGAACAACAGGCCAGCAGAGACTACACCATGTGACAATGGGCCCTGCACAGGCAAGGTGGAATGGTTTGCTGGCAGCTGGAGTCAGGTGAGAGGCCAGAGCTGGATCCATCTGTCTGTCCCTGGTAAGAGACAACATAGCAGAGGGGTTAGAAACCAGTTTTGAACTTGGCCCTGCTACTCACTGCCTGTTGTGACCTGGGAGAGCTGCAGGGTTCTTCTTGGTGCCTCCTTCAGCCATCAGGTACACCTACTGTGTGCTCACTGAAGCACTGGAGCTACATATGTGAACAAAACAAGTATCTCTGCCTCAGGGAATGAACATGAGTAGTCAAGGACCAGACATACAGTAAATATGGCAGGTGGCTGCTACTGCCATATCAACACCATATCGCTATCATAACTTACGCTGGTTTTGTCAGTACTTGACAATGTCAGAAGCTACCATTTAAAACTCTGGAGACGGGGCCCGAGAGGTAACTCAATGGGAAAGTTGCACAAGCATGAGGACCTGAGTTTAGACTCCCCAGAACCCATGTAAAAGCTGGACATGGTAGCACACATTTATAACCCCAGCACTTCTCTGTTGAGACAGGAACTGGAGAGCAACGAATCCCTGGAGGCTTGCAGGCCAGCTAGCCTGACAGAGTGAACAGCAAGAAATGCTGCCTCAAAATAGAATGTGAGGGCCAACATGCAAGCTTGTGTGACCTCTACACATGCACCATGGTACATGTTTGCCTGCACACATATACACACATCATACACACAGATTTTTTTCAAGCTGGAAGCATACATGATAAAAAGCAAATAGCAAAGAAGCTATAGTAACTTACAAATTGATGAGCTAATTTTTCCTCCATGTTCCAACACTGAACATGAACCCCTGAGGAATACAGAGAGCCATCCCACTGACTGCCCCATCACAGCACATACCCCACACACACACACACATCTCCCTGGATGTGAGTTCTTGGCCCACTTAGCATCTGGCTTCCAGGGCTGGCTGATTCTCCGGGCCGTTTTGTCTGAAGGTCATGATTTACACATTATTCAGACTCTAGATCCATAGAGAATTTTTTAAGTAGCTTTAAAAACAGACCTTGATCAAATTGGCTGGCTTCGCCCTGTAACTGATACAGGCCCTTTGGAAAACAAGTTGACAGCAAAGGGCAGGAGGCAGAAAAATGCCCATTTGTCTTTATTTCTAAGTCCAGATCAAAACTGAGCAGCAGGTCCAGCACTGCCCTCTGGGGAGACCTGCAGTAGCAGAGTGGAAAAGACAGTGGGTGCTCCAGAGAGCACCATGAGTGGTGTGGCTACTGTCATTCCTACAGACACCACCACCACTGCCTCCAGGCCACTGTCACCCACAGGCAAAAAAGGATCCATTCTTGGGGTGTCACTCCATGTCCTTGAGACCCCACTGAGCCCCAGCCTCTCTTCTCTGACTCTCGGTGCTGATGAAGTCCCACAGACAGGGCTGCAGTACAGGTCAGGTATCAGTAGCACCAACACATTGTCCGGGCCCTCACACAGACCAATGTCAATGTCTCCTCTTCCATCTTATTTTTTTTTTGACAAATTCTCTCTCTAATCCTAGAGCTCACTAGTTAGCTAGCCTGGCTGACCAGCAAGCCTCCAGGATCCTCCTTGTCTCTGCCACCCAGCACTAAAAGCCACAGCCGGCCTTTCACATGAACGCTGGGGATCTGAACTCATGTCTTCTCACTTGTGCAGGAAATATTTTTCCCACTGGGCCATCTCTCCAACCCCTATTCCTCATCAACAATGGACTTTACCAGTGTCTTTGCCAACTTCTATTCTTGTATATTCTGTCTTGCTCTTTTTCATCTGCCTCAGTAGAAGAATTGAGGATGTCCCTCCAGAAACGTAGTTTTCTTCCCCCTTTGCATCACGTGACACCCATCTGTTTCTGCTTCTTCTCCAGTGTTCCGTGGAGTGTGGCAGTGGGACGCAGCAGAGGGAGGTGATCTGTGTTAGGAAGAATGCAGACACCTTTGAAGTGGTAGACCCTTATGAGTGTTCCTTCCTGGAGAGGCCCCCGAGCCAGCAGGCCTGCCACCTCAAGCCTTGTGGAGCTAAGTGGTTTAGCACAGAATGGAGCATGGTAAGTCACAGTTGTCCACAGATGACTCCAGGCAGGGTCCTGGGCCAACCCAAGAAGAGACTCTAGATCCCCTGTTGTACCAGTCTACTTTAGGTAGTCACAGTGAGGGGACCCTGTTTGGTCGGGGAACCCTGAAGCTTTCGGATTTGGGTTTCTAAACAGCTGTGTTCATAATGCAATGACTCTTGAGCTTTAGGGTGTATCTGGGGGGTCTTGCTTGAAAAGATTAGTTCTGGGCCCCTCCTGGCTAAGAAATCTGTGAATTTAACAAGCAGGATACAGGTGTCCTTGGGCTGCAGTTTGACAAACAAAATTGGTGCAGAGAATGGTGGTTGAAGGGACTCAGAGATAATGCTTACAATGCTACCTTGTAAGCAGGCACAGCATCAGGCACCCGCAACCCAACACTGGGGAGGTGGAGACAGGAGGATCCCTGGGGCTCACTGACCAGCCAGGCTATCTGAACACTGAGCTTAAGATTCAGTGGGAGATCCCGTCTTAGAAATGAAGTAGAAAGCTAGGCACAGTGGTGACACACACCTTTAATTCACTCGAGAGGCAGCGGCAGGCAATCTCTGTGAGTTCAAGGACAGCCTGATCTATATAGTGAGTTGAAGAAACATTGTTGTAATTTTTAAAAATTAAAAATAAATGAGCATAAAACAATGGAAGGGAGACCTGTGGGTTTAGATTAAGAATCATAAATATATCAACCAACTGTAAAGTGTAACTGAGACATGGATCCTAAGATTTTTATTATTATTATTTTTAAATTTTGCTTATTTTTTATCACATGTGTATGGGTGTTTTGCCTACATGTATACCACTGTGTACCACTTCCATGAAATACCCACAGAAGCCATCAGATCTCCGGGGACTGGAGTTACAGATGGTTGTGAGCTGCCACGTGGGTACTAGGAATTGAACCTGGGTTCTCTGGAAGAGCAGCCAGTGCTCTTAAACTCTGATCTATCTCTCCAGCACTCGGTTTTGTTTAGTTTAGTTTTAAAAAAAATAATGTTTTTAATTTATCAGTTGAAAACCTGTCCATCTCTACTTCCCTCCAACCTGACCCTAATTTTTAAAGAAAAGAAAAACTATTTTTAAAACAGATAAGATTCACCAAACTGAAAAAAAAAAATAGAAGCTGGGTAGTGGTGGTGCACACCTTTAACCCTAGCACTTGGGAGGCAGAGGCAGGGGGATATCTGTGAGTCTGGGGCTAGCCTGATCTACAGAGCAAGTTCCAGGACAGAATCCATAGCTACAGAGAAAAAACAAAAAACAAAAACAAAACAAAACAAAACAAGACTAAACCCACTAATATATAGATTTGGAAATAACAAAGTACAACAATGGTACATGTTTAAGGCTCCTTCCTTTCTGGAGCTATAAATTAAAATATTGTGGAAGTTGTGATGGGAGTCCAGAACTCCCTCAAAACACTACAAAGAGTGGGGTGGCAGGGGTATAGACAGGACAAGGTATCGAGCTGCTGAGTGCTGGAGTCGGTCAGCAAGGATGTGGGGATGCATTTTAGTGCTCAGCTTCCCTTTTAGAGATGCTTGCATTTCCCCCTGACCTTCCACTCTGGTGTGTGAATCTAACAAGCTGATGAGAAACCTGATGTTTTCCCTCTTTTTGCTACACAGTGCTCCAAGAGCTGTCAGGGAGGATTCCGGGTCAGGGAAGTGCGGTGTCTGTCTGATGACATGACCCCAGGTAGCCTCTGTGACCCCCAACTGAAACCAGAAGAGAGAGAATCTTGTAATCCTCAGGACTGTGTCCCTGAAGTTGGTAAGTTTGGGGTTCCCATCTGGGAGAAAAGAAAAGACTCTGTCAAGTTATCCAGGGTGAAAATGGCACAGCCAGTTCTCTCTGTGACCTTGTGCACTGCCATGGCAGTGGGCAGAGGGTGGGGGTGAGGGTCCTCAGGGTACTTTGGATATTATAATTGTATAGTTTAAGACTACAACCCGCCGGGCATTGGTGGTGCATACCTTTAGTCCCAGCACTTGGGAGGCAGAGTCAGGCGGATCTCTGTGAGTTCGAGACCAGCCTGGTCTACAGAGTGAGTTCCAGGACTGGCTCCAGAAAAACAAATAACAACAACAAAAAAAAGACTACAACCCACTTGGATATCCTCTGAATTTCATAATGTGGGCTCCAGGTCTGGACATTGTTAGCAACCTTATCTTTGGCGGAGACATTTTGAAACATACCAAAGGTCATCAAAGTTTTGTTTATGTATTCTATTTTGTTACCCTTTTCTTCCCCTTTATTGGATTTTATATTGGAAGTGAAATATCCCCCCTGAAAACACAGCATAGCTAAGTCTAGAAGACCAAACCAGAGTGGTTTTTAAAGAAAAGTCACAGCTGAGGCTCAGTGTCAGAACGTTTGCCTGCCATGCACAAAGCCCTGGGTTTGATCCCAGCACCATAGAAACCAGGTGTGGTGTCGAGTGCCTATGATTCTAACCCTTCAGGGTAGAGGCAGGAGACTCAGAAGATCCAGGTCATCTACATATCAAGTTCAAGGCCAGCCGGGACACATACAGACCTATTTCAAAAACAAAACCCCTCACACATCTTATTAGTGAGAAATCTTTGACAAGCATGTACTGCCTGAGAGATGGGTCTACAGAATACACACACTAGCTATGGAAGTCACACCTTGCTTTGAAATCTACACAGTCAATTCCAAGGACATGGCAGTTTTCACCATTTTTAATTACCCATGCCTGTGTGCCTGAGACAACTTTCCTTTTTGTTGTTGTATTTTGTAAAAAGCAATGCAAGGAACAATTGACGATCGAAATTTAAATCACTTCTTTTGATTGTGTGGTATTGCCAAGGGAAATAAATAAACAGCTTGTGTGTATGACCCAACCATGAGAATTCTATCAATATTTATTCTGAAGCTTCCTGCTCGAAGCGTCCTTTCGACTGATCATAGCACATTTTCCTAAGATGTGCTTCAAGTGTCTTCTCATGGCATTTCTTCCTTACCCTCTACCTTCTTTTTCTTTTTTATGTATTTATTTTAAGATGGAGTCTTTCTGGCCTGTGCCTGGCTGAGTAGGCTAGGTTGGCCGTCCAGCAAACTTGAGAGATCCACCTGTCTCAATCTCCCAGCCCCAGGATTACAAGCATGCACTACATGCCCAGTTCTGTCATGTGAGTCCTAGAGATCAAACCCGGGTCCTCAGGCTTGCACAGTGACTGCTTTACCACCTGAGCCATCTTCCCAGCCCTCAAGTGATATTAATCAAAATCCATATGTAATTTTTTAATTGGGTGTGTCAAATATGAGTTGGATATAGCAAATTGGTTATGTTGAATAAGGTCAAAGAATAGCCAGGGCAATTTTGAGGGTGAATGGTGTTGGGGAATTTATCCTGCCACAAATAAAGGCGTGTCAGCACAGGGAGAGATGAACAAGTTAAAAGTATACAATAGAAAGTTCCCAAATGAACCAAAGATGGCTTGCTATGTGATGGGGTCAGCATATGAGTCTTGGGAAAAGATGAACCATTAAACAAATGGTAATGAAACAGTTCACATATTCTTATGTATACAGGAAAACAGTCAAATTAAATCCCTGCCAAGACACTCACACACACACACACACACACACACACACACACACACACACACACACACACACACACACGCCACCATTACCACCACTATCACCAGTTCCCGGTGACTTAGGGAAATAAATATAATCAGAAAATTTAAACTTTAAGAAAAGACTTGGAGGAAAAACAAATTTCTCTTAGAGTAGGGAAGAGTTTCTTAAACAAAAAACCCCAGAGCACAAACCACAAGGGAAAATACTAGAATTCCAGTAACGTTAAAAAGTCAACTGCCTGCTTGTCACGTGACATCATAAAGGAAGTGCTAGGAAGAACTACGTGCCAGAGAAGATACTTGTAACACAGGAACCAGTAAAGCTTTGGACCCATTGCATAGAGAGAACTTCATGAGTCCACAGGACAAAGGCGAGCTGCCCTCGGCAAAGGGAGCCCTAACAGCAAACATGCCTATGGTGTGTTCCACCTCACGCAGGGATTATTTTGCATCCTCTAGACAGACAAAATACAACACAGAGTGGGGGACAGTTCTGCCAATCTGGGGGTGCACTGCAGCCAGCAGAGTGTTGGCCTAGCATGCAGTGTCCTGAGATAGATTTCCAGCACAGCATAAGCCAGCTATGGTGGCACACAGCTGGGAGATGAAGACAGGAGGATCAGGTCAACACCATCCTCCGGTGTGAGGCCCAGCTGAGGCTACATGAGACCCTGTCTTCTTCCCATCCCCCTGTCCAAAAAAAAAAAAATGGAATTCTGCTGTTCTGCCAAGAGAAATACAAATAGTTTCACATAGTTTGGAAGGCAGCCATCATATCTAGTAATGCTGTATGTATCTCAAAACCCAGAAAGAAGACTTTTTTTAAAAATGCTTAAAAGGTCATTATTTATAACTGAAAAAAAATGGAAATGAATGTCTACCAATGGAAAATGGATAAGTTACATATTTACATGGATATCCTCCCCAATAATAAAAATGAATGCACAAACTCACTATCAAGCAAGTGGCCAGAACTAGGTATAATGTCTGTATTTTCTTAAGTTTAAATGCCACACAGTGGTTAAGGACACCATCACATACAGCTAAAGTATGAGGAAATAGTCACAGGCCGGGGAGATGGTTCAGTGGGAAAAGCACCTGCTGTGCAAGCATGGAGACCTGAATTTGGATCCTCAGCACCCACATGAACACTGGGTGCAGTGGCACATGCCTGTCACCCCAGCTCTGGGGACATGGAGACAGGAGGCTCGCCGGGGCTTGCTAACCAGCCCATCTATGATGTCCTGACACAATGACCAGAAAACTAGGTGAAGGAGGAAGGACTGCTTCAGCCTCTCACATGCTGGGATTATAGGCATGCCATACCCTTGAATAGCCAAGGAGCTGCCTATCAGTGCTCATGGTGGCTGGGGGAGGAGTCACTTACTTAGGTGGCGTAGCCACTGTAAGTTGCCCGTGGTCTGTTAGATAACCACATACCCATGCCCATGCAAACAGCACCAGTTAAACTCATTTTAGCAAGACATAAAACTAGGCCAAGTCTAGGTACCCTCCATGATCATTTTCTCCATTCTCCTTACATCCTTATGGGAAGAAACCCTCAAATTTGACATTCATTATCCCTGTCCTATCCCTTCATCATGATGGCTACTTTATTGTTATTTGTTTGAGACAGCATCTCACTGTACTGCTCTGGCTGACCTTGGACTCCTGGTCCCCCTGCTTTAGCCTCTCACATGCTGGGATTACAGGCATGCCCACTCTCCTTGGATATTCTTGGACTTTTTTCTCTGTGTGTGTGTGTGTGTGTGTGTGTGTGTGTGTGTGTGAGAGAGAGAGAGAGAGAGAGAGAGAGAGAGAGAGAGAGCAACTTCCTCAATTGCTCTTCAAATTATTTTTTAAATGTCTTTTTTCTTTATATACATATATACATATATGTATATGACAAGCTCATATATATATAGTTTTGGGGGTCATTTTCATCCTCTCATTACTTCCTCCCACCCCCTTCCCACTTCTACTGAGCCCTAACAAAGCCCCTCCCTGGACGTCCCTGACAGCCTACTCTGGTCTCTGCATGTGCTCACTCAGGCTCACACAGACACATAGATAGAAGCAGGGCCCAGATGAAGCGCTGTGTACCCCACCTTTTCTCTTCCCTCTGGTCCTGGCTGCCTCTTGGGCTCAGAAGTGTTCCCTGTTGTCTTCCACTGTAGATGAAAACTGCAAGGATAAGTACTACAACTGCAATGTGGTGGTCCAGGCGCGCCTCTGTGTCTACAACTACTACAAGACTGCCTGCTGTGCCTCTTGCACCCGCGTGGCCAACAAACACACAGGCTTCCTGGGGAGTCGATAACACTCCTGCTCTCCTGGGGATGCAAGCAGTGCATCTGGCTGGTTGCTGCCCTACCAGGGAGTATCCCCACTCTCACCTTCATAAAGCGTACCACATGGTACCCAGGATGTTAGAAAACCATGGCTGGCCCTCTGAGCATCACTCTGTCCTGATGACTCCCTTCCTTGGGACCTGGCACCTGATAATGGTGCCTACTGAAAACCAGCAGTCACGTGCATGCAGCTCTCATCCCAACTTCAGGCTTGCTATTGTCCTAGTCAGCAGCTGGACCACTGACCAAGCACAGTATCCTTCCTGGTGCTACTGGCCTGTCCAGAACTCACACTCCTTTGGAAAGTCAAGAGAGAAGAGCACTCCATCCTACATCACAACAAGCCTTGCTGAGACCTGTACATCCCTGTTACCTCAGCCCAGCTGTGCCTGTCACCACCATTCTTAACGACAATAGACTGTTTGCTGCTTCAGGACAGAGGTATCTCGAAGTAGAGTGCTTTCTTGTTTACCAGGTACATACATTCTCAGACATTAGCTCACTGGAGGCCCCAGCATCCCAGGATATGAGGCAGGGGATGAGTAAGTGTTCCCACTTTACTAGCAAGGAAACTGAGGCTTAGCTCAGGTAACTGAGCTGCTGTTTTGTGGCAGGGCTGAGTGCCTACCTCAGGTGGCTGAGCATAACCTCACCTCACAGCACCTCCAGTGACCAGCCTGGGGTCTGTCCACAGCCTACAGTCTGAAGAATGAATGGGGCTTTCTATCTGACCAGGAGACCAAGTTGTATTCTATGAACAGAGCCCACTTCTGAAGCCCTTCCTCTGTCCCCAAGTGCTGCCTCAACCAAGTGCTTAATTCTTTCAAGATGCCTGTGTCCCTGTTCCCGTTCCTTCAGTCACAGCTCCTGCAAATGGGACTCTGTGGTGTTTGCTAAGTTCCATCCTCAACAGAACCATCCTACAAGACAAGGAAGCCACAGGGAGAGCAAGAAGGTGGTCAGGGGTTCTCTGGGCTACTCTGCAGCTGGAACAAAGTCCTGAATCCCACAAGCTCTTGTTCCCCCCCTCTCTCCTGGGCTCTTCATGGCATGCTACCTGCTGGAAAGCCAAGCCAGTAGTCCCAGCAAATCTCCGTGTCGCAATAGGAGTCTTATTTGGGCCCTGTTGGTTGATTAAAGGTTTCTCTCTGGTAGTCTCACATCCCTCCCCAACCTGCCCCTGTGACTCATGACCCTTCCTTTCACAAGACTTGACCACCAAGATCAGTTTCATTGATGCAAGTCTGACTCACCTCACCCAACTGTAATTCAGGAGGCCCCAGGCCAGAAGGGACTCAGTGCATATTGAAAGATGAACCAGCTCCAGGAGTGGGGGGGGGGGGGGCCAGCCCCAACATTTATAAAAATTATTTTTTTTT